ACTTTGGATTTCTCTCCAAGTGAAACAGGAAACCATGGGAGGGTCTGAGTAGAGGAGATAGAATGCAGTGTGTGTTCAAAAGGTTCAGTCTCCCTTTTTACTGAGATTCTAGTATAGTGGGGGAGGGGTAGAGGTAGGAAGAGCGGCTTAAAAGCTATGGAAGCCATCTAGGTGAGAGGCAATGGTGGCATAGATGAGGACAGAAGCAAGAGAGGCAGTAGAAAGGGACCGGGATCTGGGTATATTTTGAAGGAAGAGCCACCTCTGCTTTTCTAAAGAATTGGACATGGGGTGCAGGAAAGAGAAGAATCAACAGTGTCTCCAAGAAATTGAGAATCAGGCCGGGCTCGGTGGCTCAGCCTGTAATCCCACGCTTTGGGAGGCCGAGGTGAGTGGATTGCCTGAGCCTGCAGGTTCGAGACCCGCCTGAGCAACTTGGCGAGGCCTCATCTCTACAATAAATCAAAAAATTAGCCGGGCATGGTAGCGTGCACCTGTAGTTCCAGCTACTTGGAAGGCTGAGGCAGAAGGATCACCGGAGCCCAGCAGGTTGAGCTGCGGTGGCCGGGAGCGGCCACTGCACTCCAGTCTGGGCGACAGAGTGAGACTCCAACTAAAAAAAAAAAAAAAAGAAATTGAGAATCAGTTGCGGATTTCTGAGATGGGAAAGACTATGGGAGGAAGAAATATGTGTGTGTGTAAGACAGGAGGGGAGAGGGAAAAGAGAAAGAGAGAGAGAGAATGATATTAGTAATGAAAATATTTAAGAGTTAGAGATTTGGACACATTAAGTTTCAGAAGCCTACTACAGGCCAAGTGTGGTGGCTCATGCCTGTGATCCCAGCACTTTGGAAGGCTGAAGTGGAAGGAATGCTTCAGGTCAGGAGTTTGAGACCAACCTGGGCAACATAGCAAGACCCCAGTGCTAAAAAAAAAAGCCACGCTTTATGGTGTGCACCATAGTCCCAGCTACTCAAGAGGCTGAGGCAAGAGGATTGCCTGAGCCCAGAAGGTTGAGGCTGCAGTGTGCTATGATTGCACCATTGGACTCCAGTCTGGGTTACAGAGTGAGGCCCTGTCTCCAAAACAAAACAAACAAACAAAAAAGAAGCCTGCTACATAGCCATGTGGAGATGCTGAGTAGGTGGTTGTAAATATATAAATATAAGGATTTGGAGAACATCTGTGTGCAGATTGTACATAAAGCCATGATAATGAATGAGACTTCCAGGGAGAAAGAGACTTGTTTTTAACAGCTGCCTTGCATCCCACTGTATGAACAAGCCAACATCTGTTCAACATCCCTTTATTAGTGGATGTAGCTTACGTTTTTCAACCACAAATGTCAATGCTCTAAACATCTTTTTATTTACACAGATGTGGACTCTCTATAAGATCTCAACTGAATCAGTGGAAAATAGAAGGCAGAATTTGAACCCAGTTTCATCTGACTCAAGCACAACTCCCTACTCACCCTTCTCCCACCACTGGGGGTGGGGCAGTGAGTTTCTCTCTCATAGTAAATACAAAAGCCAACATTCTGCATTGCTCAGTTTTGTGGGAGATTAAATTAGTCCAGCCTAGAAATATTTGTTAATCAACAAAATTAGCCGGGCATGGTGGCACACACCTGTAGTCCCAACTACTCAGAAGGCTGAAGCGGGAGGGTCGCCTGAGCCCAGGAGGTCAAGGCTGCAGTGAGCCATGATTGTGCCACTGCACTCCAGACTGATAGATTGATTATCTATCAATTCTTAACAAATATTTATAGGGTGGACTGGATAAAGAAAATATGGTACATATACATGATGGAATATTGTGTAGCCATAAAGAAGAACAAAATCATGATTTTGCAGCAACTTGAATGCAGCTGGAGACCATCATACTAAGTGAACTATCACAGAAACAAAGAACTGAATACCACATGCTCTTACTCACAAGTGGGCCCTGATCACTGGTCACACTAGCCCAAGGGTGAGATCAGCAGTCACTGGACATTGCCAGGGGAGGGAGGGAGAGAGGAGGGAAGGGAGAACTTAGCAACATAAAGAGTGCCTGGCCCACTGGCAGGGAAAGAGAGGGTCAGTTAGAAGCCCAGACTTCACCTGCATGCAACCTACCTATGTAGTAAATTCCCACTTGTATCCCACACCTCTAAAACAAATTTTTTAAAAAGATTATATCTTCCAAGTATCATGTTGGTGCTGAGGATAATATTGAGGAGCTGATCAAACTTTTCTGATCTCATGAGCTGGTGACCTAAGGGATCATAGTAAATTGGCATGAGACTACAGTACCCAACTCATAGTGGATGTCCACCCACTTTCCAGGTTCTTTATCCACTTGGATAGCAGTAAGATCAGAGGCCAAGTGGGCATTTCATCAAGGGAATGAAAGAACCTGACTCCTATTCTTGCCCAAATTGACTTTGTTGCTGTGGGAGGGGAACATCTTAGCTCAAAGTGTAGGAGTTACTCAAGAATTACTACAAGACTAAAAATTATTTTAAAATCATGGACGACTCCTGAATTTATGGAACTATTTCACCAGGATTCCAAGGATGTGTGCCCCAGTGCATGGTTGGGTTGCAATCACCCTCCTGCTTCATAAAAACTATAAAGATGTTGAGATATTCGATTTGGAGAAACACCAGTCCTTCTGTAAAGAGTACCCACAAAACTCACTGTAGGAAGAAAATGGTGAAATGCTGACTGAAAAGAAATTGGAATCGAGAAACACCTACATTGGAAGCCTGGCTTTTACAAGTTGTGTGATCTTCGATGAGCCATGCATCTTTTTCTTTTCTTTTCTTTTTTGAGTTGAGGTCTCACTTTGTTGCCCAGGCTGGAGTACAGTGGCATGATCATGGCTCACTGCAGCCTTGACTTCCTGGGCACAGGCAACCCTCCCACCCCAGTCTCCCAAGTAGTTGGGATTACAGATGTGTGCCACCATGCCAGGCTAATTTTGTTTATTTTCTGTAGAGATGAGGTTTTGCTATCTTTCCTAGGTTGGTCTTGAATGCTGGGACTCAAGCAATTCTCTTGCCTTGGCCTCCCAAATTGCTGGGATTACAGGTACAAACCCAGCTGCCATTTATCTTTTGAGCCTCAGTTTTTCCTCTATCAAATGAAGAGGGGGTGATTATATCTGCCCTCATTCCACTTTGAGGGGCTATAACGACACAATGTGTCTAACACAATGTGTCTAACACAATGTGCCTGTGAGCTGCAATGGTACAATGTGAATGATACAATGTGTGAGAAAGGTAAAAAGAAACCTGAACGGTGGCATGTATTCTGCAAAGGGGAATTCTCTGGGTTTCCCAGGTTTGACTGAAATTGTTTCCCGCTTCGTGCTAACATGGGATATTTTTACTGTTTGAGTGATAGAAAAAGACTGAATTAGGACAAATGACATATAGTTTACTATTCTACTTAAACACGAAAACACCTATTGTTATCAAAATATAAATACCATGCAGTAGATTCAACCTTAAATCCCCACTCATTGAAAAATGGGGAGCATGTTGCCTGTGTGATTATGAGGTAAAGTTTGGTCCTAGACTGCGCTCATTGTCCTTGTTGAACAGAGTGTTCCCACTAGCCCATGTGCCATGTCACTCCCTGACACAGCAGTCTATATCTCACAGTGGGACATTTTTCCCTGAGCCAACCCAAGACATCTCTGTCACTCCACAAATATTCAAGATTCACACTTGAAATGCCAAGTTTCCTCGACTTTTTCTGGGGGTCTGTTTATTGCTGTTTCTAACTTCTATTGCACAGATCTGTGCAATGCTGAAATTTAGGGTGCTTTGCTCTCCTCTGCTGTGATCTGGGATAGTCTTGTCTGAGTTGTAGTTACCTGGTGTTGCCTAATAGTGGGGCATGAATTCTTATATTTCTCTTTGCATACCTAGTTTGTGCTATTGGAGTATTAGATCAACTTGGATTTTGACAGAACAGATTCCAGGTTTGGTGCTAACTGATGACAGAGTGTCCTGCAGCAAGTGGAAATAGTAAAATCTGATTTATATCTCTGTGTTAATATTGCACAGATCCTTCCACCCCAAGTACATTCTCTGATGTTGATAAACCTTGTGTATTCACTTGTGTGTTGTCCACAGTGTCCTTGTAAATCTTAAACCATCAGGCAAATAGAGATTACTACATGTTCATGGAATGTCTTTTTTTCCCCCTTTAATTTAGAGACAGGGTCTTTCTCTGTTGCCCAGGCTGGAGTGCAGTAATGGGGTCATAGCTCATTGTAGCCTGGAACTCCTGGGCTCAGACCATCCTCCTGCCTCAGCCCCTAGAGTAGCTGGGACTATAGACATGTGCCACCATGCCTGGCTAACTTAAATTTTTTTTAAAGAGATAGAGTCTAGACTGATCTTGAACTCCTGACTTCAAGTGATCCTCCCATCCCAGCCTCCCAAATGCTGGGGTTATAGGTATGTGCTTCTTCACCTGGCCGTAATGTCATTTTATTTTTATTTTTTGAGTTGGAGTCTCACTCTGTCACCCAGACTGGAGTGTAGTGGCCGCTCCCAGCCACCGCAGTCTCAACCTTCTGGGCTCTGGCGATCCTTCCACCTCAGCCTTCCAAGTAGCTGGAACTACAGGCATGCACTACCACACCCGGCTAGTTTTTCAATTTATTGTAGAGATGAGGTCTCGCCAAGTTGCTCAGGCAGGACTCGAACCTGTGGGCTCAGGCAATTCACTCACCTCAGCCTCCAAAGGCACAGGATTACAGGCTGAGCCACTAAGCCTGGCTGTAATGTCATTTTAAAAATAGCATTTGGTAATTCAATTTATTTGTTACCAATGAATTTCTCCCAGATCATTATATTTTTTCTGGACAGAGTTTGCTCAAGAAGGTTTTCTTCATGGCGCTCTTCAGTTCTTTATTCCGGAGGCTGAAGATGATGGGACTGAGGAAGGGTGTGAGGACTGTGTAGGTAATGCCCATCAGGGTGTCTCCTTCCAGAGACTGAGGACCCTTGGGCTTGAGGTAGATGACAGAGGCAAAGCCATAATGAACAACCACCACAGTGAGGTGAGAGGCACACGTGGAGAAGGCCTTATGCCGACCTTCTGCGGATGGGATCTTCAAGATGGCAGCCACGATTAATGCATAGGAAAGGAGGATGAGGAGACAACAACCCAGCAGGGCCGTGATACACACCAAGCCCACGCCCTTGGCCACCACCGGTACATCATCTCCACAGGCCAACTTCAACAGGGGTGGCACATGGCAAGCAAAATGGTGGATCTCATTGGGTCCACAGAAAGTGAGTTGGAAAATGGCCACAGTCACCACCAACCCCATGACCGACCCACCAGCCCAGGCCCAGCCCACCAGGCAGGCACAGCCTTGGGGGCTCATGAGCACGTTGTAGCGCAGGGGGTGGCAGATAGCCACGTAGCGGTCATAGCCCATGACAGTGAGCAGGAAGAAGTGAGTGAAGCCGAACGTGAAAGAGAAAAACATCTGGCTGGCACAGGCCAGGAGGGTGATGGAGCGCTGGGTGGAGAGCAGGTTGGCCAGCATGCGCGGAATGATGGCCACAGTGTAGAGGATCTCAGAGATGGAGAGGGCACACAGGAAGAGGTACATGGGTGTGTGGAGGCCACGCTTGCTCCAGACAGTGGCCATGATGACCAGGTTGCCCAGCAGTGTGAACAGATACATCAGCAGGAACAGCAGGAAGAACATCAGCTGGAGGTGGAGGAAGGTGGAGAAGCCGATGAGGATGAACTCGGTCACTGCAGAGCCATTGGCTCCCCACATGGAGGCTGAGCCTGGGGTGAGGAGGAACAGGAAAATATC